CCGGGATGGAGCGGCACGGGCTATGCTGCGGCCCACGGGGGTCAGCCGCGATCCTGGCCCTCCACTGTGCGGGGTCCGTGGGGTGCTGTGGCCTGGCAAGTGCCACCTCTCCTTTCTGCTCCCCCATGTCGCTGAACAGGGGGTTATTTCGAGGCTGTCTGGAGCTAGCAGTGTTTCTGGGAGGGTGAAATGCAGTGTAGCAGGGTGAGTTTGGGATGGGTGAATGATGGAGGGAGCTTAACCTGGGCTCCTTGCACTCAGCAGCCCCCCAAAATGCTGCTCTGGGGTCCTTCCTGCCCCTGGTGCCTGATGTGGGATCAGGTCCCTGCGGGTGCTCTCCTGGGCTGCAGGGCCTGGCTGCGGGTGAGGTTTGGCAGGGTCCCATGAGGTGCCTGCAGTTGGGTTGCCCAAGGGACACCCAGTTTAGCAGCCCAGGGCTGGGAGAGCACTAGGACGTGCCGAGGCTCTCGGTCTCCTTGCCAGTAACTAGGCAGAACTGGAGCGGCTGGGGGCTCTTGCAGGTCAGCTCTGGCTCGCCTGCACCGGGGCAGTTGCAGCTAGTCTGATTCCTGACCTTACTGATGTCCTGCCCAGAACCCTGGCAGTCCCTTACTCTGTCCTTCAAGTACTGAAGCAAAATTGAAAAGGGGGGAAAAAAAGCTGTTTCCTCGGGAAATGTGCCTTGCCATCTGCTCTTAAGACACTTTTTTTTCTATCCTTAGACAGCTTCCCAAGTAAGTTATGCCTGGTCCTAACCTTTCCATCCTACTGTCTTCACGTGTTTCCTTCTGGCCTGGAATCCTGTTTCTTGCTTGCAAACTGGTTTGGTTTTTTGTTTGTTTGTTTTTTGTTGTGGCTCTTTTTTTTTTTTAAATCAGGAGTGGCTGGGGGGGGGGGCAGGGGGATTGACCTGCCCTGCCTCCTTCACCTGGGTCTGCCGGACCCTGTGGGGTCTTGGCTCCTGAAACTTACCCCAAGTATTATCTTACTTTTTTTTTCCCCTCTGTGAATCTTGTCTTTTTTTTTTGCTCAGGTTTCCTGGGTTTGGCAGCTGCTCTGCTGTCTCTCCCTGGTACAGTTATTTAATGGAAACCTCTTTTATGCTCTGCTGTCACTGCGAGGGGGTGGCAAGTGGTGGTGGGGGGAAACGCTCTTTGAGCACCTACAGATGATCCTGGGAATGGCTGCTCTTTTTTTTTCCCTCCCTCTTATGAGCTCCGGCTTTCTTCTAGGTTTTTTTTGTTGTGCTTCGTTTGTCCGTTTGGATTCCCAGAGACCCAAGGCTCGGCTCTCACGCTGTCCCCCTGGGCAAGCTAACAAAGCCCCTTTTCTCCTGGCGCAGAGAAAAGGCTTCGCAGCCTCTTGTGTGGCACTTTCCATGGGAACGGGGGAGCCGGAGCCGGCAGTGTCCAGGTCAGGTTGCCTAGAGATGAGGGCCATGAAGCCAGGGGGGCCGCAGCCCAGCGAGGTGCCCGCCTGACAAGCCAAGCTGCTGAGTGACGGCTCTTGTACAGCACTTGAGGACAAGGAGCTGCCGAGAGAGCTGGAGGTGGCGCAAACTCCTGCGGAGCGAAGCGCGGGCTGGGGGGGCACACATGGATGCAGAGGGGACGAACCTGCGCCGCCGGTGGCGATTGGCTCCAGTCTTCCCATGCTGACCTGGCTGCCGTCTCTGGGAAGCTTTGGGGCACCCTGGGCTCCCCCAGACTTGGCATCAAGTTGGGTTCTTTGCCTGCAGAGTGCAGGATTGATGCCATGGAGCTCCGCTCTATTGCTTCCCTGTCTGGTGGGGCTTTGTGGTTTCTGCCCCGGGAGGGTGGTGTGGTGACAGCGGGGTGCTGCCTCTGCTCAAACGTCTGTCTTGGTCTGAGTCAGGCCCATCTCTGCTCATCCTGTCCCTCTCGCTCTTGTTTTGCTAACGGTGCTCAGGCTTGTGTGCCGCCTCGCCGACGGAGGGAAGTTCCTGCCCAAGGGCTGAGAATCCCCCATGCCCGATGCCATGTCTCTCTTTCCTCTGACTCTGCTCTCATATCAAACCCCAACCTCCATCTTGGCTGTTCATTAGCCAGGCAGCTCTCTGGGGAGGAGGGATGCAGGCACTGGCAAGAAGGGGTTAAATCCAGCAGGTAACTCCAGGCTGGACCCTGGCAGATAGGGGGAATAGCTATTGTGTCCTTCCTTGTCTGCTCTTTGTTCTGCCCACAATAGTCCCTGTTTCCTGCCCTCTGTCCCCTCAGAGACCCTGCAACAGGCACCCCCTTCTCCTTCCTGCTTCTCTCTGCATGGGGAGGGCAGATCCCTATTCCCTTCTGAATCTGCTCCCCGGCTTGCACAATCCAGGCTGGACAAGCTGCTGTTGGAGGAGAGTTATGGGTTTTCCCCTCCTTGCTTTGGGGAGAGTTTCCAGCTGTCTCAGTATCCTTAGGATGCTGGAGTCCAGTCTGGGGAAACTTTGCACTTGAAAGAAAAGAGAGGGGGGAGGAAAATGGCCATTAGGCAGAAATCCTGGACAGGAGGGAGTCCAAACCCACTGGTTTCCTGCTGCGTCGGGTGCTTTGCCGTGGCAGAGGTCGCCAAGAGATG